CAGCAGGAAACCTCAGCTTTATACTTTTAATATACAGGGATGTTACATTTCTAGATCATTATGAATATTTATGTTCTATAAACTTTTTCATTTACAGAAAAGTCCCTCCTCCTTTCAGTTATTCTGAATCAGAGCTACATACATTTTTTACATTCCTTTGTGATGAGAATTACTGCAGTGATCCAAAATTTGTTAGAAGATTGAACCTATTGGTCTGCTTTGTAGAGAGGCACATTCCAGCTCTACCTCAGAAAGACTGCACTATTCTGACATGAATTTGATAGTGTAGTTACCATGCAGAAAGAATTACTTCTATTCATACAGAAGCATGTGCAGAGGACATCTGATGCACACTAGGCTGTTGGTTCTTTAATCCATCAAACATTTGGGTTATTATTTCTGAGAGGACAGCCTCAGCTCTCAGCTGTGCCAACAGTTACTGGCACTTCAACCCCAAGAGCTGGGCACCATGTCAGCTGTGCTCTGGGTGCAGAGAACAACACCATACTATGGGAAAGGCCACTACAGATTACAGATTGTAGATTACAACATAGATCTCAGCTATTTATTTTATACCTAAGAAAAGAAATTAAGAAACAGAGATCATTACCTAGAGAAAACTGTTAACTGCTGGTCAATCTCTTGAAACTTAGACCAGTACCCACTTGCAAGCTTTTGGTATTCATTGATAACTAAGTTCTTCAAATCAGGGTAGGGGCATTCCAAAGACAGTAGTGCTGGAGGAACTTCAAGGAAAATTTCCTGTTTCTCTTCAAAGGAATGTGCTAATGCCTGTGATGAAAAAATGCTACTCAGCAGACTACTCTGAATTATATTTTCTCTCTCAAAAAAAGTGCTAATTAAACTTACAAGGAAAAGCTTACTTTTGTTTTATAGTCTTCAAGCTCTCTTTCCAAAGTAAGACTTTCAAGGATAAGGGATTCCAAATTTGCCTTCTGCTGCTTCTTCACAAATTTAATCTAATTAATGAAATATGTTACTATTACTGCTTTATCTTGTCATAATATGAAAGCTCTTATTTAAAAACAAAGAGCTGGATTTCCAGTTCCAGCAGATTTCCATCTGCTCTGCTTTTAAAGACTACAGTGTGCACACCTGCCCCATGGCAAGGACAGAGGTACTGGGCACTCCGAATGTCAGTTATATCCTCAAAGTACCATGTACAAATACATGAAAATGCTAAAAATATGGTGATAATACGTTGTAAAAATCAAGTTAAAATACCAACCTGCTGTAACATCTCAACTGGATTGAACTTGGACTTCAGACAAGATTGTTCTGAGAGGTAATGCTGCATTTCAGACAGCTTGAATTTCAAATTCTCTTGTAGTTGCCAGATAGGAACTATGGTGTCTGTTTGGTATCTGTCTTGTTCCTTTGATAATTTTTGCTCTATATTCAAAAGGAAACAAAGCTTTCTCAAACACACAAAATATTACACAGCACTGTGCTTTCTAAACCTACATCTGTCAAGGAAGGATTTAAAAATTCAAGTTATCAAGGTAATTTTTACTATAATAAATAATCAATAAATTAATAAAAATTTCTTACCCAAGTCTCTCATATCCAAAAAGAAGTCATGTTTATGGCTTTCTTCATCAAGAAAAGTCTTTATTTCTGCTTCTGCTTTTTGCCTGCACAGTAATAATACAAGATTTACAGAAGCTTTAATTTCTCATTCCTTACGTTTTCAAGAATTATAAACCTCAAGTACTCTAATAATTAAGTTAAAAAGGGATTCCTTGCCTGGGAAGGTATGAAGGGCAGGACTTGCACATGAAGGTGGTATGGAAGCAACATCCTCTGAGCAAAAACATGCTCCCATGGATCTGTTGTACACACAACCCACCAGCCAACAGACAAGAACCAGACCAGCGTTCTTGTTGGAAGTGTGAGCTAAATAAACCCCCTGAAGGGATTACACAGTACCTGATAACTGTACCTGACACCCAGAGAATGGTTTGGGTTGGAAGGGACCTTAAAGATCATCTAGTTCCAACCCCCCTGCATAGGCAGGGACACCTCCCCGCAGACCAGGGTAGAGCCCCATCCAACCTGCCCTTCAACACTTCCAGGGATGGGGCAGCCACAGCTTCTCTGGGCAACCTCTTGCAGCATCTCACCACTCTCACAGGGAAGAACTTCTTCCTAATGTCCAAGCTGAATCTCTCCTCTTTAAGCTTCAAACCATTGCTCCTTGTCCTCTCACTGCACACCCATGTAAAAAGCCCTACCCCAGCTTTCCTGTAGGCCCCCTTCAGATATTGGGAAATGGCTATAAGGTCACCACAGAGCCCCCTCTTCTCTAGGCTGAACAACCCCAACTTCTTCAGCCTGTCCTCACAGGTGAGCTGCTCCAGCCCTGTGATCATCTTTGTGGCCCCCTCTGGACACACTTGAGGAGCTCTATGTCCTTCTTATGCTAGTGTCTCCAGAACTGGACACAATCCTACAAATCCTGCTCTTTCAATAGTGATAGGCTGACTGAACAGCTGCAAGATCCTCATGGAGAGGCACATCCATTCTCCTCTGCCTTCATGTGTTCCCTGTGTCCACAGATCCCTTTCCATGTAGGTCACAAACTCACATGCCCTGCACAAAAATTTATCTTTCATTCCAGTATTTTCATCTTTTCCCACTACTGTCCATGGCAGCAAGTACCTCACCCCAGAGCCTCTGCCCACTGATGTATTTCTCCCACAGCTGCTCATCAGGGTTCCTCAGCTCTCACCTGTTCTCACTCAGCCTTTTATGCTCTTGCCACCACACTTGTCGATGCTGTTTCAACAGCATTTGCTCTTTGCTAATTTTTGAATCTTGCTCTGTTTTTTTAATCTGCAGGGGAAAAAAAATAAAATCAATGCTTGTAAGTATTTTGAAACTGTTCAATAGCTTTATCAAATGCCTTCACATGGAAACTTTTAACTGCAGAATTATGTACCTAGAAGCTTTTTTCAGAACTGTGCTTTTCTAAAGAATGGGTTCAACTGTGACCAATTTTAATGAAAAAAAATGTATTCCGATTGAAACCACAAATAAATGAGAGGAGAAAGAAAAAAAAAATGCAGTCCATTTTGTTCTTTCACTTTTTCTTCTTTATGGAGGTGAAGGGGGGAAGATGAGCAGAAGAAAAATACACTTTCTTACAGGTGGGAAGATGAAAGAGTGGAAGTGTGTCTTTCAAGAAAAAGAATTTCAAAAATTGATTACTGAAAAAGGTGTTTTTCCAAAATCTATCCAATTTAAAGAGGCTCTGAAACTGTCTGAGGGCTTAACAAAAACATTGTTTCCAACCTCAGACAGACAAGAAAGACACACTTTGGAGATGGAGTCACTACTCCAGTAGTGGAAGAGCCATCAGGGAAGGCTGATGCAGTTGCAGGTGCTTCTGCAAGGTTGCAGGTGACTGCATGTGACTCTGGTCCACCAGCACTGAAGGAAAAAGGGTCAAAGATGTCTGTGGCTGCCAGAGACAACTCAGTTTTCTCTCCTCCTCCCAGTGCTGTGAGTATCCTCTGGCCTCTCAGAGCAAACTCAGGACAAAGCAGCATTTCAGTTCAGAACCAGATCCTTTTCTGCTCTGTGGTGCTGCCCGGTCGCCACCTTCCTCTGCACCAGAGACCTCAACCCTGCCTCAGCCACCTCCTGTAAGTCACAAAACCCCTTTTGGTGCCAGAGGCTCCCACAACTCACAAACCTGCTCCCTTTTCCCCCTCCCAAACCTTTCCTCATGCAGACACATTCTTCTACTGCACAAAAGCAGCAGGGGCAGGCAGAGGAGCTGCAGCTGCTCCAGTCAGGGCTCAGGACAGGAGAGTAGGAACCCCAGCACTGCTCACCACACCCTCTCCTCCACTCACCCACAAAGGGAAAAAACCTTACTTTCCAGGTCAAAATTGTAGATGGTTTGTTTTAAACATTTATGCCTCTCAAATGAAGCTGAGTTTGATGTATCTGGTTGAATATATCAGGAGCCTAGACAGTTGCATAAGGAAGAACCACAACTGGAATGTGGTCAGTCCATTGTGCTTTTGCAGCAAACCTGCTGCAGTGGTGGTGTTATTTGGGTGAGAAGCTGCAGAAGGTGCTGTGGAGAGATGGTGTGGATGAGGGCAAGACAAGATGTTCAGAAGAGGCTGCATTTGGGACTGTACTATGAGAAAGTTTGAAAACACCTGTTTTATGCTTTAAATCAGCATGTTATGATGCTTTTGAGTAAGAGATAACGTCTCCTTGTTTTTATTGTTCGCCTATTTTCATGTTTAAAATGTTAGTTACAGCTTCCTCTATTACTACTAGGTGCTGAAACCCAGACTTCAGCAAAGAGAATGCTGCACTTGGAGTAATTTGAAAATTCATACATCTTCAAATCAATCCTAAAACTAAAGCGAAACAAAAATTGAAGTAGATCTGTACATAAAGTTTAATAAGCTCCTGAAATTACTTTGTAGCAAAAGCAATGACATTTATGTATAACTGCTTCAATATTAGCTGGTTTTGGTATGTGTTGTATTTTTATTTCTTAAAGGGCCAACAACTGAGTTGCTTTTTTGATTCTACTTCAATGAAGCAGTAACCTGGCACTTGAGAATTTGGAGAGCCTGAATCAGCAACAAAAAAGTAGTAGGTGGGAACACATTCTATTCTCTGTGGAGCTTTCAGCATGTGTATTTTACTACCTATTCAGTTGGAAAACACTTGAAGAGGTGAAATACCAGAAGACAGACAATGAAAAATCAGTTTAAAACTTGAATGAATTCAGGAGAATCTTGAATGGCCAATCCATGAAGTACCTGCCAGACATTTCTGATGTATTTTACTGACATGCATTAAAGGAAGCAATACTATAAATGAAGTGTGTTTTTTTTTCTCTTTCATTCAATGCCACCCTTTTTTATTTTAAATATAAAGAGGAGAGCTGCACATGCAACCCCCTTTTTTGTTGCAAGGACTTCAGGACAGTAATGTGAAGCAGTAAATTATGCTTGTTGGCACTGTTTAGATTCCATTTGCTAAGATTTAAGAAACAGCACCAAGAACAACAACAACAAAAAATCTAGTTATGTTGCTAACCAATATATTTAATTTAATAACTTTTGTTAGAAGCTAGAACTCCTAAATTTGTTTTAGATATACATTTAAAGGAGTTGGGATTTTTTTAGAACATTATATTCCCATATTTCTCCAGCACTGTGTCCAGTTCTGGAGCCCCCAACATATGAAAGACATGGAGCTCATGGAGCAAGTCCAGACAAGGCTACAGAGACACTGGGAGGGCTGGAGCAGCTCTGCTCTAGAGACAGGCTGGGAGAGTTGGGGTGGAGAAGAGAAGGCTCCAGGGAGACCTTAGAGCACCTTCCAGTGCTTGAAGGAGCTCCAGGCAAGCTGGGGAGGGACCTGGAACAAGGGCAGGGAGGGATAGGATGAGGGGGAAGGGTTTCCAGCTGGAAGAGGGGAGATGGAGGTGAGATCTGAGGGAAAAATTCTGTGCTGTGAGGGTGGTGAGACCCTGGCCCAGGTTGCCCAGGGAAGCTGTAGCTGCCCCATCCCTGGCAGTGTTGAAGGGCAGGTTGGATCAACCTGGGCTGGTGGGAGGTGTCCCTGCCCATGCAGGGGGGTGGGACTGGATTATCTTTAAGGTCCCTTCCAACCCAAACCATCCTGTGGTGATTCTGTGATTCAGCAAATTTCCCTTTGAACTTTGCAATCCCATCTGAATGAAGACTGAATTATTTTTTATACATGCCAAAGACATCAGGTGGTCATCTGCACAAGAAACTTTAGTCACTGTATTTTGTGTAGTTTCCATAGTCTTCAGCACAGTCTTCCATTCCAAAGGCCATCCACAAAATTGCCAACTGTTCAGAGGAATGACCAAGGACTGGAGGGACAAGCAATTACTGTGTTAGCACAAGCTGAGCACACAAAACTGTGTTCTCCTTAGGCTGGATGTGCAGGTTTCTGCAAAAGCATTCAAATAACATTACTGATAGAGCAGTCTTTTCCAAATTGGTGATTTTTTTTTTTTCCTCTTCTGCTCCTCAGCCTAAGGGAACTATTGCAGCTGAATATATATCTCTCAGTTTCTTCAGAAATCACTTATTTCTGTGATTATTTTTTTTTAACCATGTAACACTCATCAGTGAAACAGTTACACACTGAAAGCAGCTCCAGTCTCACAAGGAGTTACCACTCTACAGAATCACAGACTCATCTTCGTTGGAAAAGACCTTGAAGATCATCAAGTCCAACCATAACCTAAATCCACTAACCATAACCTAATCTACCCAATTCTTAAATCATGTCCCTAAGCACCACATCTACAGTTTTTCTGGATCAATGTTTTACACCATTTCCACACAAATTCCAGAGGAAAACATACAGAACCAGCAACACATGCTCCAGAGAGGCTTCGGACTTCTTGGGCATCTGCATTTCTGGCAGTTGAACATATACTATCTTTTGAAAAAAAGCATTATTGTTTAAAGGGAAGGTCTTAAAAATACAAATCCAAAGAATGTTTCTGCACATCCACAGTGAAAACCAAACCTTGTTTATTCCTAACCACCTTCACCCCTCAGCCTTGCCCCAACCAGTGCAATATCCAAGCCCTTACTGTTTTGTGTTCTTTCTTCCTGGATGAACTTCTCCATTCCATTTATTCCTGTAACATTGTCTTTATCCCAATATTTTGAGTACTTTATGTAACAAGTCTGCATGAATTTCCTCAAAGCAGCCAAATACGAACTTTTCCCATATTTTTGGGGAAGCAGAATCCACAGTCTCTCTGATTCAATTGCATTCCACACTTTAATGTGTCCAAATCACAATAATGCTGAGATAAACCCTCATGTTTTGCCCCCCCTTACAGCCATCTATTATCCCTAGTCATCCTCAGATTGCTTGGAGCAGTGAAAAGAAATCTAACTGAATTTTAAACTCCTTCACGTTACAAACAATACAAAAATCATACCTTTAATTGAATTTTTTCAGATGCCTTTTTTTCAGCAGCAGTGAGTTCATAAAGATGTTTGTAGTCAACAGGTTTATACTTCCGGCTGCAAAGACCATTTCCCATGGGAATCACCAGGTTTTCTAGTTATCACATAAAAAAACTGATTTAAAATTCTGGAGAAATATTTTAAGTGTGAGTCAAAGTTAAAGCATTATAGATAGAAACTAGAAACAGTGTACTTTAAACATTAGAAATTTCCATAAAGAGATTTTTAGTTGGTGAATAACAATTTGGAACAAACATGAGCTAGTAGAAATTATAGAAGAAACATGAACCGTTTGTCTATTTACAAAGAGTTTATTTTTACAGGGCTTTTAATACATGAACTTAAAGAATAATTCAGTTCAAACTGTGATTACTGGAATATTATTAAGTTCTAATATAGAAGTACATAACTTTCAACATATGCATTCTTATGTCACAAAATGGAAAATTGCCTTCCATATTTATTGTAATCTATGGATCGAGCAATAGGAGTGATATTTTCTAAAAGGTACATAAACTACTACTTCTGTGTGCACAGAATGAGTTGCAGGTACATTTCCCACTGCAACTCCAGCCATAAGAGCAGTATAATTCCTCTACTAACCTTCTGTAGGCCCCTGGGAAAATAGTGAATGTGCTTCCTTAAAAAAAGAGAAAGGCACTAAATTGCAAGGAAAACATCATACTTGGTTTCTGCTGCATACAGCATGGATTACAATGTCTTCCTTTTGCACCCCTGTCATCAGTATCTGAAAGACCATGACGGTGTTGAAAGACTGTTGTCCAACACACCCAGAGGAAGGAGTTCTGCTAAAAAAGCAGTTGAAGTCCATGAAGATTTAACCAAGCTGGTTAAATTTCCTTCACCACACAGTGAAGATACCTTACAATGATCCCTCCGATAAGTTTCACTGAGGAATTGCCATATTGCCCCAACAACAGTTACCTCAAGTTTACCATGGAGTCCTACTTTGAGCTTATGTTCACCTCCTAAAATCCACCACCTTTGTTTCTCTTCCCCTCAGCAGCTTTGTCCCACAAAGGTGGGACACTGTCACCTTCCCGAGGACACACAGGCCTAGGTCCCTCCCTGCAGCCCCTGTTGCAGCTGCTGCCCAGAGCTGTCAATGTGTCTGGAAATGCTCTACACCCTGTCACTGCACAGTGACAGTCCTCATGCTGCAGTCAGCTTGCAGTCTAACCACTCCTTCAGAGCAGAAATGGGAAGTAACTCCTAAATCATTTCACTAGCAGGGACTTCTTGCATCACTTGTTTGGACTGTTTTATTGATATCCAGGGCTAGGAACCCTATCTGGGAATGGCACCCAACATCCTGACCAGGTCTGTCACCACTCTCATCTCCTTAAACTACTCCATGAAATTAGTTTGCTGTTCCTGTTTGGCAGCTCTCATCACCACCTGCTTTTGAAACCCTGCTTTCTCAATGCCAGCTTTATTCTTCAGTGTAGTGTAGTAAGGACAAGAGATGTGATCAAAATACAAACACATGTAATTTTTTTTGTGCCCTTTCTTCCTCACAATAAAAAACAACAGAAAAGGGTATTTCATAAGTAGAACTATTCTAGATTGTAATAAAACAATTCCATTTGAACATGACAGCATACATACCCACACCATTAATCCTATGAGTTGTAAAGGATGTTCCATGGTCTGGTTCATTCATTTTTATTTTTTTTATTTTTTTATATCTGTTGAGAAACAAACAGATGTTTTGAGATTACCAACACTGTGGATGCAATCTAAAAACACATTTGAAAAGTATGCATTGCTTTCTGGTAAGAGAGGACTCATCTCACTAAAAATGTAATTAGACAAAAATTCAACAAGTTTATCTTTCATTTTAAGAACAATTTCATGTGCTTCATATCATTTGACAGCTAAGAAAACAACATATGATTTCCTTGATGAATCTGCAACACTGTCACATAGATAATTTAATTCTTTGCTTTGTACTTTTCAAAATAAAACAATCCTCTTGACCCTAACTCAAGATCAGTTTTTGATGAGCTCTTTGGTTTTTGGAAATTAAGCCTGAAAACATCACACTCTTCTATTCAGAGGCTGTGATTTATATATGAAGTCTGTAGGAGTCTCTGTGTTAACCCTGATCAACCCAAGCCCAGTGGGCACCTCACCTTGGGAAAAACCTGGCGTAACATAGCACAAAACTTGATGACTTAAAAACCTTACTTTCATGGGCACCATCACCATCTTGCAAACAAAGAGCAGTGGAGCAGACAAGGGGGTTCAGTGGAACTGAGCCAGGCTGAGCAAGGCCACGTCTAACCAGCCGCCCTACCACCTCTCCCTTGCCAAAGCTTCCCACACACAATTCCCTCCCCTTTGTCACACCTCTGGTGTCTGTCTGCTCCCACAGCAAGCAGCAACACAGTAAACAGTAGGGCAGCAAAATCTATTATTTTATGTATTGTGGAGCTATTTTTCTGCTGTTCTGGTAACTTGAACCAGTTTATCCATCCAGATTCCAAGGATGGCACAATGCGACAAGCAGGAGGTAAGGAAAACCACCAGGCTTGGGTACAGTGAATACTCCATCACCAAAACAAGTAGCAAACAGTGAACACTCACTGATAAAGTGTGACATTTCTCAATGCTTCTTCATACTTATTCTTCAGTGTCATTTAACAATGCTGTGAAACTGCCCCTTGCACTAAACCAAAAATATCCAAGTCTAAATGTCACCTGTCTTCACCCAACCAAGAATGACCATTCATTAACAACAAAGGGACCCTTTCACGTTTGTTCTGAAAGTAATCAGCAGTATCAGTTGGTCAGAAGCTAAATCAATTGCCATCATCTAATTACAAAGACTGAAATTAAAAATACATGAGAGTAAGAAAATATGACAATACATGAGGTATTTCATTCCCCTTTTGAAACATTAATGTGTATTTCACAACCTAATAGTCACCAGTATATAAATTCACAGTTCTACCCCAAGTCTATACACTCACCAAAATCAATGGAAAAAGAAAGGAAGAAAAAAGTGAGCATACTCATACTGCTGATTCCATTTTTCTCCACTTCAAGCAATTATCTGGTTTTAACCTACAACCATGTAACAATGCCAAACATCCAGACAAATGAGAAAATCCTCCAATATCAGAAGCAACTTTTGGTTGGCTTGCCATGGAAATGTTTTATCTATACAGCAACTTCTTTATATACAGTTTTCTAACTGCATATATATTTGGCTTGGAAAAGCTTTTATAAAAAAATCAAATTAATTATATATGTAAATCCTTAATGTAAACATTTACATAACACAGTAAAGTATGGGATTTACCTTACTTATTTCTTCAGGACATGTGAAGTTTAAATGCTTTTATTTCCCCCTAAAGACCAAACATTTTTCTGCTTCTTCTTAGAAAGATCAACTTCGCACAGGCTTGTTTTTCACTATTCCCTGAAGGACTCACTGGAAATATACCAGGAACAAGAAATGCTCAATAACAAAAATATTTAAGCTTTAGACTGATCATTTTAAGAGGCATTTTAAAAAAAAATCTTTTTATTCAGGTTGTTTAGAAGTCTATAAATTAGGTTCAGTTTACTATGCCTAGCGTTGCAATTCCCTTGGATTTCCAGCAAAATCTTCTTCCTGGGAGGAAGCAGATACACCATGAAATTCTGTAAGTTAAAAAGTGGCCAGAAGGGGAATCTTAAAGAGTGAAACCCTGCAGACTGGCATCAGTTCCCATGGAGTTCTAGAATATGCAGCACTTTCTGGAAACTCCAGCACAATTATGTGACACAATCTTCTGCTGAATTGATTGTCGTTAGGGTTGAACAGGAAAAGTTAAACCACTGATAATAAAAGCTGGGGAAAAAAAAAAAAAAATGTAAGAAAACTCAAAGTATTTGTTCAGTGCAGCTTTCTATTATTTCCTCTTAAGGCTTTCAATATGAATCACAAAAACAAAACCAGGTGTTTCTTTTTCCTCTGCTGAATTTCACCCTACTCCTGAAGAGTCAATCAACTACACACCTGAATTTAGAGAACAGGGAAAGCATCACAATATATTGAAATTCTTTCTTTCAAAGCTTCTTTGGTTAACCAGAATTCCCTGCATCTCATTCTAAGAGATATCATGAGTCATCACAACTCCTAACCTCATTCAGGAAGATGTGAATGTTCAGCTGTGGCTTGAGACTCCCACTGATACTCTAAGGTAGATAAAGAATAGCTGCATCAAGTCTCCTCTGATGCCATCAGATATACCCTGTATTTACACAAGGCCAAGGAAACAAGGGGGAGGCACCAACACAAGAATTCTGAACAAGCCTGACTGTTCTCCAGTGCTCAAAGAAAGTCCTTGAGATCTACTGACCAGCAAAATTATTTTTAAACAACAGAAAGTTCTTTTGAGTTTGGTCTTCTGTTTTGGGAGGGGTGGTGGTAGTGTGATTTTAATTGTTTTTTTTGGTTTTGTTTGTTCTCCACACACACTATGGTTGATATTTACCCAGCAATGTTGATTTTCCTCAGCAGAGATATCAGCAAGGCTACCACATTCTGAGGGTTTGCAAGCAGAAATAAATATCCGTGCATTAGGTTTGGGGCAGATTGTCTGCACATGCTTTGGAAAACTATTGGGAGTTTTTAGATTTGTAACAGCCCAGTGACAGCAGCAGCTTTGACCAAGTGGCCAGAATTCCTCAAATTAAAAGCAGGAAGATATCTCTACAAAGGAAACACAACCTGGGATAGTCCTAACTACAGGGTAAGAGAACATCAAAGTTCCTTGCAAAGTCAAAATGAGAGATTTGTAACAGGGAAAACTGGCTTGGCTTTGCTGCTAGCACTGGATCCAGGGCACCCACTCCCTAAAACCCTTCTATTCCTGCTCCTGGCCCAGCTGCCGCGCTGGCGTCACCTCCTGCATTACGCATTTTGGGAACCATCATCCTAATCCGGGCCCATCTGGTCAGCTTTAAATGACAAGCTTCTTCCAGCACCAGGAACGCTGCCCTTTCTGAAAGATAACTATGGCGACCGAGCAAGACAGGCAGCAGCACAGCTGCCCTCTGCCACATTTAGTTATCCCACTGCCCAGCTGCAAACATCTTCTCCTTCTGCTGACACGTTTGACACGATGGCAGCACTTGCACAACTCCTCACACATTCACCTTGGCTGCTGCTCCTTTGAGAAAAAGCAGGAGAGTAGATCTGCAGGGACAGAACTGACACAAAAACCAACTTCCTGGCCGTGTTCTGTACATCAGGGCTGCTGTTCCACCAGATAACTGTTCCCTTGCAACCCACCCATTTCTCTTTTCTGCAGTGATGTTTTATGTTTGTATTTGATCTCAGCCTTTTAACAGACATTACTTTCTGTTAGCACAAATTCAACATTATGCCTTCGCTACAACACTGAGAAGGAATGTTAAGATGGTTTCAGAAAGGGCAGAATATGTATTTTATCTTCACTAACTATAAAATGTACCAATCAAAATGATAAAAGCAGTGCAAGTTAATTTTACATCAGTTTTAATGCTGATACATCTAAAAACTCTTCAACACTACAGAAGTTCCTCTAAGCCTGAACTCTGATACCTTCAAGGCTTAGCGCAAACCTCAGTACAGCCTGTAGCTTGGGAGTCTCAAGGCATCTTGGAAAGAAAAGGTACAACAGATGGAGCAGCCGTGGAGCAGGAGCCTTTGGAGCAGAGGACAATGCTCCCCAGAAGACTCCTCTAGCTGCCTGCAGCCCCCTTTGACCAACCCTCCCAGCAGCAGCACAGGGCTCCAGGCTTACCTGTCCTCTGCTCAGGATCTTCTCTTCCACCACTATTCACAACCCTTCCAGATAATAATTAACATCTACAAGTATTTAAGGGTGGGTGCAAGGAGGATGGAGTCAGACTCTGCTCAGTAGTGCCCAGGGACAGGACACCGGGCAATGGGCACGAGCTGGAACATGGGAAGTTACACAGAAACATGAGGAAAAACTACTTTACTACAAAGGTGACAGAGTCCTGGGACAGGCTGCCCAGGGAGGGTGTGGAGTCCCCTTTCCTGGGGATATTCCAGACACACCTGGATGCAGCTGGTTGGAATGTGCTCCAGGGGGTCCTGCTGTAGCAGGGGACTTCGACTGGATGACTTCTGGAGGTCCCTTCCAGCTCTGACAATTCTGTGATTCCATAATAACAAATATGGCATCTTAAAGGATGATGTCCCAAATTCAACTGAACACATCAGTGCATTCTTAATGTAAACACTTGCTTCTGCCTGAGGTGCATGACTTAAGTATATGCTTATATATGGGAATACCAAAGGTGAAGCAAGATCCTGCTCCCTTTCATTTAAATAGAAATTAAACTCTGCAGGTGTTAGTCAGCATTTCTGCAGCAAGCACAGCCTGCACATCCCTCCCTGCCACGGGCTGCTGCTGGTGAGGATTCATGCCCAGTTGAGGTCCCATTTCCCCAAGCATGAGCAATCCCAGTGAGTTTAACTTTAAAGGAGCCTACATTTCACTTCCTTAATTCAACAAATAATTTTCATACCTAAAGCTTTGCAGATTCAGGTCATGAGTGTAATTTTTTCCTCTCAGCTAAACTGCTACTAATCAACAGAAGGGCAAAATTACTGGGGAGGGGGAAGGCACAGTGTTTAATGAGGTGGACATGCTATTT